CTTTAAATCTTTCCCAAGTTTCTTGCAAGGTCTCAGTCGGCTGCTGCTTGTACTGCAATATTTTATCAATCTGCCTTGTAGTCTTGTTGGGCGGGTAGAACTTATTCAGGAACTGCTTTACTAATTCCTCCCAGGTGACAATGGAATTGATTGGGAGCGAATTCAGCCAAGTTTGAGCTTCTCCAGTCATAGAGAACAGGAACAATAATAGCTTGATAGCTTCTGGGGTCACATTTGGCTGCTTTTGAGTCACACAAATTGACAGAAAGTTTTTCAAATGTTGCTGAGGGTCTTCAATGTGTGACCCAAAGAACAATCCTTTATTCTGCAGCAGATGCAACATGTTGTTAGTGATCTGGAATGTTTTCGCTTGAATTGCGTGCGCAGCTATGGCAGTTGCCAGGTTGTCAGCTGTGGGTTGAGCCCAATCATAAAGTGCAGCTTCTGGCACAAGAGGTGCCACCACTCTAACGTTTAGGTTAGCTGGCTCATCCTTGATGTTTCCGTTCATGTTCTCTACGTCACCCATGTCAATTTCAAGCTGGTGTGGTTGTTGTGATTGTTGGATCCTCTTGTTGGCACAGTTCAATGCCCTGAATATTTTCTCGGGGTCTGAAAGTCCTTCAAACAGTTCTCCAGTCCTCGAAGAATTTCTAGGCATACACCTGAATTCCACAAGAGTTCAAATGTTAGAATTTCAATACAAATTGTTTAACACCTTTGGAAATTGATTTGAACTAATAATTTTAACACTACTTCTAAGTTGTAATAAATAACACCGTTAGTTCCCTGGCAACGACGCCAAAATTTGATAACGCCCAACTATGCCTTTTAAAGGACAAAGCGGTCGCTGCAAATATAATCCGGTTTTAAGTCCGGAATCGAATCCTCAGGGAACTAACCTATCTATTACAATCTACGACAATGTTATTATCAACTCAATCAATCTCTAGATGCAAGATTTTTGATCAATAAAGATTGAGTTTTTTTTAACTACTTCAACTTCTATTAAAAACAACAGTAAGCTAAAACAAAGATAATTCAATGGTAAAAAGGTTTAGGGCTGTTTTTTCCCAATTGCTAGTTTAGGTTTTGACTCTTCCGCTATAATTTTGTCGTAATACTCTATGAGGATTAATAGTTATGGGTTATCGTAATTATCTCTCGATCAACTACAATAATTTACTAGAGCATTCTCTCGAACTACTCTAGCTGACAATAGTTATGCAACTCTAAATTATCCCACCAAAGTTTTGTTATCTCTAAACCCACTTTTAAGTTCAAGTAATGAATCTCTTCAATTACCCAAAAGTGATGTTGTTCAACAGCTATCTAACCTAATATTCTCTCAAGCAATATAAGGTAATTAGACACGATTAATCAAGGGCCCATTCAATTAATCACCATACAAAACGTAGTTGAACAATCATATCATAAATCCGGCTCGATTATAACAACTTGAGTCAAAACTTCAACCAACAATTGGTTCCATCAACCCTAGATAAGTATTTAGCTAATCATAACAAAATAAAAGAAAACTACTAAATTGTTCATAATGTAAAATTGCAAGAATTAAAAGGAGATAGAAAAACTCTAATGTTTGGTTGATCTTCTCACTCTTGTTCTTGCCTCCAAAAGTAGTCTAAATTCAGCTTAGCACAATCTTGGGCGAGTTTCTAAAGTATATAAGGGTTTTACAAAAGTTTTTCCGATTTTACACTTTGGTCCTCAAACTTTCCAGCAGCGTGAACAGTGCACCGCGGTCGCGGCTAACCGCGGTCGACCGCGGTGAATGCTGACCTTTCTGCCTTACGTTGTTAATCTACCGCGGTTTACCGCGGTGGCCTTCTTGCCTAGGCCATTTATGCTTTTTTGTGTTCGGGTACTTCTCGAGTGGGCGTTTTTCTTCACATTATCACCTCCAAAACACTCCATGTTGCTTCCTCTCATATAATATTCTCTGCTAAACAAAAGAACACTATTTAGAGCATTTTGTTGGAAATTTATCTATAAAACAACAACAAAGTATAGTCATATTAAGGTGTAAATATCAACTATATAGCCTACTATCAAGGTTCTCTTCATGATTTTTAATTCTCCAATCTAATGACTGGTGTGTGTTAAATCGGGTAGTAAAACTGTATTTTTAAACTCTAAGCTTGCAGAGTTTTGGACTTTCGTGGGTTTCTGGGGGGTTTTCGCATACTTCTTGATTTTGCTATTATTGGATGTTGTGTGCTAAATCGGAACTATTTGCTAGGCGGCTTATAGCCTGTTTGACTAAGCTTCTTCCCAAACCAAAACTATTTTTTTCAAAAAGTGTTTTTCCCTCAATTTGAGAAATAACCAAGCTTTTCTTGGGAAAAAAGTGCTTTGCAGAAGTAGTTTTGAAAAAGCAGAAAAAAATAGTTTCTCTCCAGAAGCAGAAGCAGTTTTGACTTTTCTTTCTACCAAAAATGTCCTTTGAAAAATATTATATATACCAAAATATCCTTAATTAGTTTAAACTATTAAGTAATATAAAATGACTTTTGGGATGAAATTTCATATTTATTGAATGATTTTTTGATATATTTAAATTATCTTGAAAGAATAAAGTACTTTTCAATTTTATTTTTATATTTTACTTAAATAAAATAAAAAACTTAATTATTATCTTTAATAATAAATATTTGTAATTTTTTATCTACTTATATAATATTAACTACTAAGCAAATATCTTCGTGTCCTTATTTGTAATTTGAAACTTAAAAGCAATTTTTAAAAAACTTGCCAAACACAAATTATTGTTCAAAAGTCTTTTTCAAACTGATTAGCCAAACACAAACTATTTTTCTCCAAAACTACTTTTTCGAAAAGTATTTTTGAAAAAAAACACTTTTCAAAATAAGCTGATATTTCTAGCTTGACCAAAGAGGCTATTAATATAAGCGCATTCTTTTAGAAGTATACGCTTTATTGGGATAATAATGAAATTATTGTTCTCTGATTCAACTGGTGGATTTCTCTGATTAATAAATGGTCTTCAATTATTCCCGGTTAACAAGAAAATAAAAAGCACCCAAGAGTTTAGTTCTCAAATGATATTAGAATACGTGCTTTCTAATTTATAAGAGAACAACTAAGGTGAACTAGATGTTCTGGCTCTTTCCCTGGTTTTCCGCAATAGAATAGTTGTTGGGTTTGGGGGAGGAAACATGGGGTCTCGGGGAAGGGGAGGAGAGTAGCATAAAAAAATATTTTTTTAAAAGAATATTTTTTACTCTCTAACCAAACACTACAAAAAAAAATTTACTCATCAACCAAACAAGGAAAAAAAAGTGATAAAACCACTCATTTTCAAAACATTTTCTAGGATAAAAGATGTTCCCTTAATTTTGCACTATTTATTTTCATTCTTTTCACCCTTCTATTGTCTAAATGCACTTCTTAAAGGTAAAAGAACTGTTTGAATCTCCATCTGTTAACAAGCCTAATAACTGTAAAGTTGCACAAAGAAATATATAGAATATGTTATGATAATGTTTTCCATGGCTTGTGGCTGTACGGAAAATATTGTTTAGCTTAGGAAACGAACTTTCTTCAGATTCAATCGCTTATACGGTGAGATCTTCTCTTATAAGTCAACAAAGAAGCAAGGTATTATTATCAACGGAAAATAATTTCACCAACATGTATATAATATAAATATAAATGCAACTTGTTATTTGCAATCTTTCTTTGGACATGCAATGGCCCGATTCAAGAACCCATTCCTAACTACTTGTGTAAAAGCTCTTTCTTTCACCTACTGTCTCATAGCATTTAGACCTAAGAGCTCCTTCACCTACTGTCTGTCTCATAGCTCTTTTATATTAAACCTTTTCTAGACCAACTCATGGGACTGAGGAAGGCAGTTTCATAAGTACTATTTCACAGAAATGCCGCACTTTTTTGGGGGTTTAAGTCTCTGGTTTGGAAGGAAGGCATTAGGCATGTCAAGTGGAACTTCTAATATGAAGCAGTCTAAACAGAACACATCCCATATTATTCCACAATTTCATAGATAAATCATATAGTTTTTGTTATGTCATACATGATTATTCAAAGAATTAAAGAATCATCTGTCAGGGCTAATCTCTGAGGTATATGCAACTAAATCTTCCTAAGGATGACCGGACTAACAGTACTAAACTAGCATTTGAAGTGACTCAGATCGATTATCATTACAGTGATATCATCCCAACTACCCCTTGACACAGCTAGGTTTACAAGTTCTCTGCATGCAGCCACAAGCGCATTGGATGGTTGCTTCTTGTTCAAACCACTCTTTTCTTGAATTTTCATCTTCATCATCTTTGTTTGGTTCATTGTTGAAACTCGCCTTGCCTTTTTCGGAGGACTTTCATTTTCATTGCCAAATTCATCTTCACTGTTGACACTTTTCTTACAGCACGGCGAATGACTTTTCCTTCTGTTTGACTTGATTATGGGAACTCGTCGTAACTTTGAAGGACTTCTACTTAAACAATAAAATTCCTTTCCCTTTTCCACTGGAAGTTGCATTCTCTTTTCCCTTGGACAATACTGCATTATGATATCCACAGCCTCCTGATTGCCCACCTAAACAACAACATAACCAAATGAATTCAGCTAAAAATCTTACCAAGAACCACAATGGATACCCAAAAGTTATAGTAATCATCAAATTGTCTAATGACAGATTGGTAAATCCCCACACATAAAAAAGTACACCGGAAATTTGATATTATCATTGTATCATATGCCCTCAGATGAAGGATAATGTATTGCTAGAAGTGCTTTAAACTCGAGCACAAATCAGTACTACGCATTGTTCGTGCAAAAGCTTCCTCATCAATCAGAATCTATACATGTTTTCTCTTCTAACCTCATCCCAAAGACCATCAGAAGCTAAAACAAGGTATTCCATATCTGGTGCCAAAATGAGTGTTTTGGTGTCAGGTTTAGCTGGTACCCAATCCTTCAAATGAGAATCTCCAATGCTTCTGGTGACAGAGAGAACACCATGTACTCTCCAACCTCCTCTGTGAAGTTCAACATATCCTCCCTGCATCAAAAAAAGTTCGGAACGAGCAAGTATAATCAACAACTTCTCTCCTTAAATTCAAGTAGCCTGAGGGTAATATGATGTACCTTATCCTCTATTCTCTTCCGCTCATCCTCCCTCTCAGCTCTATGATCTATTGTGAGGGCTTCAGCAACTCCACTTCTGCATAGAACCGCTCTACAGTCTCCCAAATTTGAAACTATAATCTCCTTTCCTTCAATTAACGCCGTGATACAGCAAACACCACTGCCCAAACCCTGTTATATTCTCAGTGTGTAAAGAATTGTTAAACGAAAAGGACACAGTACAAAACTTCCCCTCATAGACAAAAAATGTCATTTACTCTTTACTCTTAACATAACAGACTCCAAATAACAAGAATATCTGCAATCTTGACTCCAAGAGAAGCAATTGCCTTTGAAATGAGATCAGAGATGGCTGATAGAATCTTAGCTGATTATGGTTCCACATTCTTATTCTGATTGCTCAAACTTTTAAAATCCTAATTTCTCTGATATTGGTACTACATCTACCCAGCTAAGAAAAGTCAAAAAACAAAGATCCAAAATTTGCAAGAATTCCAATATAGAAATTCGGGAAAGTTGTTCCTATTTTGTTCGCTAAAAAGAGCGAGAAATGTATGTTTAAAAGCCAATGGAAAAAGCAAGAAACAAGAGGGTTACCTGTTTCAAAAACCGCTGATCAGTTTTCAAATAAGCAGCCTCAATAGCTTTTTCTCTCGTCGTACTGGAACCATTGTCGAGCATTTCAAATACATACGAGTGTAAATTTTCTGCCACAAATTCTGCAGCTTTTCGCCCTCCGTGTCCATCATATACCCCAAAAAACCCCTACATTTTCAAGAACTACAAAAATTCAGTTCTTTCAACAACAACAATGACAATGCCTCAAAAATCCCAATCAAATTGGGGTCGGCTATACGAATTCCCACGGTCCAAGTAGCTCTATTTAGAAAATTCCAAGTCTTTCAAGAAAGAAACTTGAAACCATTTAATAATTAATCAAATCAAAAAATGAAGCATTTTTTTAGTTACCCTTTTGACATTTGAGCTAGAAATTATTTTGTGGGTATCCTCCATGATGGTTTTCTTGCCTTTGCGGCAGAAAAGGCCGACCCCATGACCACTGAAGCAAATGGGATGTTTTGTGACAGCTGCATCATTCTTGAAACACGGCTCTGAATTCACTCGAATCTCACACAACAAACTGGGGATCTCTATCTTAGGGGGTCTTTTCCGTTTCAAAGAACAGAAAGAATCAGCATTTATGTTCTGATTCTCATCAGTAGTGGCTATGTTATTGTTGTCATTCATTACTGTGGTTGTTGAAATGCCTTTCTGCATTTTGATTGTGAAACTCTGTGAATAAAGTTGAACTGAGACTGGAAGGTGGCTCCAACGGCTAGGAATGACAAAGTCGTTCAAAGCAGAATTAGAAGCAGTTTAAAGACTTTGTTTTAGAGCCGTTGGGCCAGGAGAGGGGGTGAGTAGTTTTTCGGGNTTTTTCTTATTAAAATTTATTATTACTCCATGTGAGGTGTATTTATAAAGCTTTTTTACTTTAATTGCATAAATTCTTATTCACTTTGATAAATTAGAATGGGAAAAGCATTAGAAGGAAAAGGGAAAAAAAGGAATAGAAGAAAGAAATACGGAAGGTTAGGAAAGTAAAAATTGTGAATATTTCCTTCTCTGTTGTCAATTGCCCTTCTCTTGAGATTTATATAACTGTGGATTGAGTAATATGGTAGATAATAATTCACATAAAAAATAATACTATAGACTAAAAAATATTGTTATAAATGTAACATTCTATTTCAAATATAAGAAATGTTACAATTTTTGTAATTCCTCTTATTTTTCTTTTTGGAAATTAAATTTAAGGGCCTTCAAGTTTGATGTATTTAAGGGTATGAAGCTTGATCTTGAACTTGATGTAGTTTAATCCAAGAGCTTGAAGCTTGATCTTGAACTTGATGTAGTTTAATCCAAGAGCTTGAAGCTTGATCTTGAATTTGATGTACTTTGATCCAAGGGCTTGTAGCTTGATCTTAAACTTGATATATTAATCTTTAAATGCATAGAACGCCTTTTTTTATAGCAAATATACTACTTGGCTGGGCCTAGTGGCTAATTTTATTAATTAATAAAAAGAAGAACCACAAAGGGAAAAGTACAAGGGGGCAAAAGCAACAATAGTGTGTCATCTATTGCCTTGGAAAGATGATCATCCCTAAGCTCTTCCAACGTCTCTTGAGGGTGAAGTCTCACGAGGTTAAATGATCTCTTAGCCAAATGAGGTATCTCCCTACGGCAAAATAGATGACATCAGCTACTGATCTCGACCTTACCTTATAATTCTTATTGAGGCATGCAAACCTCTACTACTTATAAGAATGTAAAAAGTACGAGCTAGAAAGCTCCAAATACTCTATAATCATCACAGAGTTCATAACACACTCTATGATGATATTACATGCGATAATACTAGAAAATGAATGAATAAAAATATGAAGATTATGCGGCCGAGACCCTACTTCTCCAATCTTGTGACCTCTTTAAGTTGTAGCCCAATACAAATATGATAACTTGCATTGTCTTGTAATGATCCAACCGGATGTTTTGAGTTCTAGAGCTCCATTCTGCAAATTGAGGCTTCGAATAGGTTCATTTGATGTTCTATTTCTTGCGTGCATTGTTGGTTTTGGTTTTCGGGAGGTTCGGGGAGTTTCGGAAGGAGAATTCTCATTTCAAGAGGTTCTAAGTTGTTGGAGTTGACCAATAGTTGACTTTTGTATAAACGACTCTGGATTGGAGATTTGATGGTTCTATTAGCTTTATATGATAATTTTTGACTTGTATGTACGGTTGGTTTGGGTCTCAGGTGACCCGAGGTCATTTCGGAGATTCTAGTCGAAAGTTAGAAATTTGAGTTTAAGAACATTTGAGGATATTGAGTTTTTATGAATGATTCTTGATTTTTGATGTTATTCTGATGATTTGAACTTGCGAGCGAGTTTGTACGATGTTATTACACTTGTGTGGATGTTCGAATTAGAGCCTGAGGGGCTCGGGTAAGTTTCAGATAGGTTGCTGACTGATTTTGGCTTAACTGGTATCAGCTGGTGTAATTGGGCTGCAAGTCTCGCATTTGCGAAGTGCTAGCTCGTATTTGCGAACTGGGATGGGATTAGGCAGCTTCGCATCTGCGAATCTTTGTTAGAATTTGCGATGAGGGCTATGCATTTGTGAGTCATGTGTCACATTTGCGACACTGGGAGTCTGAGGCTACTTCGCAATTGCGAAGCCTGGGTCAGTTTTGCGGAAGGGGAATGTTACGAACCAAAATCCCAAGTGTCGTGATGGCGCCTATCATGATACTAGGCAAGCCGACAACTCACACATACCAACATCTTGAAATTTAAATTATGCAGAAATAAGCTTAAGTAAATAAAAATCTCATAAAACTGAATGAAAACGTCAAAGCTCAATACAGAATTTTTCAAAAACCCGGGTGTCACTGAGTACATGAGCATCTATACAAATACGTAGTTTGATTACACTATCTAAGAAAGCATAACTGAATACGTAAAACTGAGGGATAAGGGAGAAGAGTTAAGGTCTGTGGACGCCAAGGCAGCTACCTCGATAATCTCTGAACGGCTATAAAATCTGACATCAACAACCACCGTTCCCAGAAACACCTTGATCTGCACACGAAGTGCAGGGTGTAGCGCGAGTACAACCAACTCAACAAGTAATAAGTCTAACCTTTGGACTCATTCCGAAATATCCTTGGAACCGAACCAACTACTCCGACAAGTCACATAACGATAATTGAGCTTGAAATAAGCAGTAAATGGGGAGAACAGGGCTACACACTCAAAATGATCGGCCGGATCGTTATATCCTTCCCCTCTTAAATAAATGATCGTCCTCGAACGGCTCTAGAAACATACCCGGTGTCTCAAATAGGCGTGGATATCTGCTCTGCATCTCCCACTCAGTCTCCCAAGTAGCCTCCTCAACTGGCTGACCTCTCTACTACACCTTCACTGAAGCTATGTTCTTTGACCTCAACTTTCGAACCTGCCAATCCAAAATGGCCACTAGCTCCACCTCATAACTCAAATCACCATCCAACTGAACTGTACTGAAGTTCAAAACATGAGACGGATTGCTGACATACTTTCGGAGCATAGAAACATGAAATACTGGATGAACACTTGATAGACTAGGTGGCAGGGCAAGCTTGTAAGCCACCTCTCCAATCCTCTGAAGCACCTCAAATGGCCCAATATACCGAGGGCTCAACTTTCCCTTCTTCCCGAACCTCACAACACTCTTCATGGGTAAAACCTTGAGTAGTACCTTCTCTCCCACCATGTAAGCAACATCACAAACCTTTTGATAGGCATAACTCTTTCGTTTAGACTGCATCGTACGATGCCAATCTTGAATCAACTTAACCTTGTCCAAAGCACCCTGAACCAAGTCAGTACCCAATAGCCTAGCCTCACCCGGCTCAAACTATCCAACCAGAGACCGACATTGTCTCCCATAAAAAGCCTCATACGGAGCCATCTGAATGCTCGATTGGTAGTTGTTGTTATAGGCAAACTCTACGAGTGACAGCACCTGATCCTAAGAACCCCCGAAATATATGACACAAACGCGTAGCACATCCTCCAATATCTAAATAGTGCGCTCGGACCGTCTGTCCGTCTGAGGGTGAAATGTTATACTCTACTCAACCTGTGTGCCTAACTCCCACTACATTGCTCTCCAAAATTGCGATGTAAACTGCATGCCCCGATCTGAAATGATGGACATTGGCACATCGTGAAGGCGAACAATCTCGTAGATGTAGATCTCAGCCAAACACTCCAAAGAATAAGCAGTCCCAAGTACAATGAAATGTGCGGACTTGGTCAACCGATCCACAATCACCCAAAAGCATCAAACTTCCTCGAAGTCTGTCGGAGCCCAACTACAAAATCCATGGTGATATGCTCCAATTTTCACTTAAGAATCTTAAGCCTCTGAAACAATCCGCCGGGTCTCTAATGCTCGTACTTCACCTATTGACAGTTTAGGCACCGAGATACAAACCCCACTATATCCTTCTTCATCCTTCTCCAGGAATAGTGCTGCCTCAAGGCCTGATACTTCTTCGAGGCACTCGGGTGAATGGAATACTGCAAACTGTGAGCCTCCTCAAGAATCAACTCATGCAACCCATCTATATTGGGTACACAGATCTGACCCTGCATCCTCAACACCCCATCATCCCCGATATTAACCTCCTTAGCATCACTGTGCTGAATTGTTTCCTTAAGGACAAGCAAATAGGGATTAATATACTGGCGCTCTTTGATGCGATCATATAAGGAACACCGAGAAACCACACAAGCTAGAACCCGAATAGGCTCCGAAACATCTAATCTCACACACTAGTTTCGAGGGCCCAATAGTCGAGGCTTGATGAGCAAAACTAGTTTTGATAAGCCGCTCAAAAAGGAAGCTCCAAGATTGTCAGAGTATAACTTCAACATTGATGCAGTCAGCATTGTATCAGCCATTGGGCACATCAAGGAGACAAAGTGGCCTCGACCACTGTAGTCCGACCCCACCCAGAGAGATCCTAACCTGATGTGTAAGTATCATGGCATTCATGGCCACAGGACCGAGGATTACCGGTAATTAAGAGAAGAAGTTGTCCAGTTGTTCAATAACAGGAATCTCCGGGAATTTCTGAGTGATCGAGCCAAAAAACACTTCAGGAACGAGGACTCCAACAAACAGACCAAACAAGAAGAACCTCAGCACATCATCAACATGACCATTGGAGGGGTCGATGTCCCTCAAGGGCCAATGATAAAATGCATTAAAGTATCTATCATGAGGGAAAAATAAACCCGAGATCATATCCCGGAGGGAACTATTTAGTTCAATAACGAGGATGCCGAGAGCATCATGCAACTTCATAATAATGCACTGGTAATATCCGTACTTATCAATAAATATCGAGTTAAACATGTGTTGATTGATCTAGGTAGCTCGGCCAACATTATTGGATCAAGGTTCGTAGAGTAGTTGGGGTTAGAAGATCAAATAGTGCCAGCAGTCCGGGTGTTGAACGGATTTAACATGGCGTGTGAAACCACCAAAAGGGGAAATAAACCTACCGGCGAACACCATCGGGACCGTTTAAGAAACAAAGTTCTATGTGATCGAAGGGGATATGAGATATAACGCTCTATTTGGAAGACAATGGGTTCACAATATGAGGGCGGTTCCTTTGACCTTACACCAAGCGTTGAAGTTTCTTACACCATGAGGAATCGAGATGGTATATGGAGAACAATCGACTGCAAAGGAGATGTTCGTAGTCGATGAACTACTCCCGGT